TCTCTCTGTTTTCCAGCCCTTCAACATGGCATGCTGTCATTCTCCCCTCATTCTGTAGGGATTATCACTGAGCAGCCTTCCATCATTGACCATTGTGGCTCAGTCAGCTCGGCCTCAGGTGCACTAGTGTTTCCTGTTCGTGCCTCTCGGCTCTGCACTGCTTCTCTCTTTGATTGACATTCTCACTTTACAGACTGAAAAAGTGTCCCTTCCACCTTCCTGCTCCTCCTCATACAGTTCTATAGTGTTCTTCTTCAGCTGTCTAAGTGGACCAGTCTTGTGAGAAGGTCATTTATGCTGTCCCTCTTCCTTGTCCATTGGGAAATAATTACTCATGTTTATATAGGATTCGATGTTGGATAAAACGCTTTCAGATGCTGTCTATTATTTTACCTACTGACACTGAAATGTACCTGTGAAAATTACCATTTTATAGATGCAGATGTTGTGACCTTTCCTAAAGTCACATGACCAGGCAATAATGGATGAGTTTGAATCTTGGTCTTTGGATATCCAAGTTGAGGGCTCTCTCTGCGAATGAGTGAAATCTTTTCAGGGGTACTAAAATAATTTATTTTGAAATGTAGAATCCTTTTGAAATTTTTCTCTTATAAAATGATCTAGAGGCCAGGCATGGTGGCTCATACCTGTAATCTCAGTACTATGGGAAGCCGAGGCAGGTAGATCACTTGAGGCTAGGAGTTCAAGACCAGCCTGGCCAACATGGTGAAAACCCATCTCTGTTAAAAAATACAAAAATTAGCGGGACATGGTGGCGCGCATCTGTAATCCCAGCTACTTGAGAGGCTGAGGCATGATGAGAATCACTTGAAGCCAAGAGGTGGAGGTTGCAGTAAGCCGAGATCGCACCATTGCACTCCAGCCTGGGTGACAGAAGAAGACTCTGTCTCAAAAAAAAAAAAAAAAAAATTAGGGCAAAAAGACCAAGTACGAACGTCTAAGACAAATACAACCAGGTACAGCAGCACTGAAATACTAGTATTGTGCAGATTCAGTAACTGATAATAGGCACCTGTAGTGCAGGCTGTGAGAGTGTCAGCCAAAAAGAGATCGCTAGTGTTTTGCTCTCTAGACATCTTTTGAGATTTGTTAGCACTGTTGAGTAAAACTGTTTAGCAAATAACATTGCTGCAATGCTAGTTCTGAAGGGTAATAGTTGCCCATACCTCATTCTCTCTTCCTCTTTTAACATGGATAATTTCTCTAAATTATTTCATACTTAGGGAAACATTGCAAGTATACATTTAATGAAGAATTTTTATTTCTTCCTCAGTCATTTGAGAGTAATTTGCCAACCTGCGCCCCGTGTCCCTGCATGCTTTAGTGTGTTTTATCTATAAACAAGAACGTTCACTGACAACCATCGAAATCAGGAAATTAACCTTGGTGTGGGTTGCTACCGTCTTCAGACTCCCTTTAAGTTTTGCAGGTTGCCCCAGTCACACCCCTTACAGCAAAAGGATCTGATGAAATACTCTGCATTTCACCGTCATATCTCTTTAGTGTCCTTCATTCTGGAACAATTCCTTAGTATTTCCTTGACTTTCATGACCCTGATACTTTTCAAAATGACAGATCAGTTATTTTGAAGAGTGTCCTTCAGTTCTGGTTTATGTGATGTTTCATTGTGATCAGATTTAGGTTTCGTATGTATCTCTAGCAGGAATATCCAAGACATGATGCTTTGCTTTCATTGCATCCCATCGGGTGGCACACAGCTTCAGACAGTCCGAATTCTAGTGCAGTCATGTCAACCTTGATCACTTGATTAACATGGTTTTTGCCAGGCTTTTCCATTGTAAAATAATTATTTTCACTTCGTAATTAATAAATGCATTGAAGGAGGTACTTTGAGACTATGTAAATATCTCATTCCTCATCAAAGCTTTGTATTAGTGGATTCCTATTTTATACGTAGATTATAATCAGCCCCAGTTTTGGTGCTTATATTATCCTGGAGTCGGCTGGTGGCAAACCCTTCAGTCTGGCTTGTGTGTCCTTTTGACATGTCTCATTCTTGGAATACTTCCATATGTTCTGACACAGGATATTCCAGGCTTATCTTGAATGTTCCCTGCATTAGTCCTGGAATCAGCCATTTTTCTGAATCAGGGGCTCTTTAGGTGGAGACCCACCTGCCTCGACCAATCAAAGTGCTGGGATTATAGGCTTGAGCCACCGCGCTCAGCCTATTTGTGTATTTGTGAGTCCCTTCTCTGATTTCAAGAAACTTGCTTCCCATCATACTTGATATATTTCCATACATAGGCAGTCCACCTCTATGCAACCAGTGTCCCATTGCCCCTGCCCTTGCGTGGACACCCTCCCTGTCCCATTCCTGCTCCAGCATCTTTTGCAGGGCTGCTGCTGTGGCCACCCTTGCACAGATGCCTTTCTTATCTTCCCTGAGTACTGTACCCTGTGCAAGGCCACCCTTCTTGCCCCACTTGGTGCCTGCATTGCATACCAGGCTGTACCTTTGTGAAGATACCTTTCTTACCCGTCTCAGCCTCTGAAACCTCACTGTAGGTCACCACGACTCCTCCCCTTTCTCCCCAACACATACAAATCCCCGTGTTGCACAGCCCCATCTTATGGACTGGATTTTCAGGAAAAGGAAGAGGTTTCTACATTATTTTTTGGTACATGTGCCAAGTGGTTAAAGAATGGACTTTTTTTTTTTTTTTTTTTGAGACAAGAGCCTCACTCTGTCACCCAGACTGGAGTGCAGTGGAGTGATCTTGCTTGACTGCAACCTCTGCCTCCTGGGTTCAAGGGATTCTTCTGCCTCAGCCTCCCAAGTAGCTGGGACTACAGGTGCACGCCACCACACTGGCTAATTTTTGTATTTTTAGTAGAGATGGGGTTTTACCATGTCGGCTGGGCTGGTCTCAAACTCCTGACCTTGTGATCTGCCCACCTCGGCCCCCCAAAGTGCTGAGATTACAGGTGTGAACCACCACGCCCAGCTGGAAGAATGGACATATTTTAAAGTTTATGACCCTGATCAGTTTTACTAGTTTATCTGCAATGATATTTTCATGCACTCCTGCCTTTTTAAGATCAGTGATCTAAATCTATTTTAAAATTAAAGATTTATTGGAAAAAATATCAATGAGGAAAAATAGGTAAGGAAAGAATATTTTGGGACAGAAGTGTTTGCCTGTGTCAGGGGAAATAAATTCAGGAAATGATTGCATGCTACTTGTGTGCATTAGACCTCACTGATCAGCTGCATCTACATGTAGCTGCCACGTTTGTGCAACCCAAAAATGACTCATTGTGTAGACAGGAACAGAAACTAGGGCAGAGTGCGAGCTGACACTGTGTTAGTTTTGCTGTATTGTCTCTATTTTAAAATGTAGAAATGAAATTGTTTCAGGGTTTTTCATTACCATTATCATGAAGCATCTGTCAGTTGCAGAATTTTGAGTTATTTTGATACATTCACAGAATACCTTAAAATTTTCATGGCACACTCACTTACCTAGCACAGTTGCTGGCACACCGTAGGACTCAGAAATCATGTGTTGCATAAATTTTTGATGACTGCTAATCTAGCGGAGATAAAGCTATTGGGGGATTCAGAAAGATAAACGGTGAAGCAAAGACAAGAAAAGAGAAACCATTGAAACAGACGTTAAGGCAGAAAGGCCAAGAAACATGCAGGAGTGGAGATGGTGGCATGCTGATCTGTTCAGGAGAAAACAAAATTCATGATCACCTTTAGATACCGTAGATCCCATAGGTCTTAAGATTGCAGGTAGAAAATTTTCTTTTCTTTTTTTTCCCTATTGCTGCTAAACAAATTATAAAATAAATTTTCTACTGATCCACAAGTTGCTCTGCCTCTTGGGTCAGTTTTTTTTAACAATACTTAACGTGAAAGCTGGATTCCAGAGAGTCGAATGAGCTTTATTCAACAGAGGGAAGCAGAACTTCCAAAAAGAAAGAAAAACAGAAAGGTAAAGAGAGAGAGAGAAAGAGAAAGACAAAACCCTATTAGACTACTTAGTACTGTGACTCTGGGTAAAAAGGCTACTTTAGGCTGGGTGCGGTGGCTTATGCCTGTAATCCCACCACTTTGGGAGGCTGAGGCGGGTGGATCACCAGGTCAGGAGTTTAAGACCAGCCTGGCCGAGATAGTGAAACCCTATCTCTACTAAAAATACAAAATAATTAGCTGGGCATGGTGACGAGCGCCTATAATCCCAGCTGCTTGGGAGGCTGAGGCAGGAGAATTGCTTGAACCCAGGAGGCGGAGTTTGCAGTGAGCCAAGGTTGCACCATTACACTTCAGCCTGGGCAACAAGAGCAAGATGCCGTCTCAAATAAAAAAGGAGGCCTAGTTAATATTGTGTGCCAGCTCCTCTTTGGGAACACTGGCTGTTTATCAGGGATTAGTCAAAACAAGCTTGTCACTGCTTATTTTCTGCCTATTATTCTGGTTTTGTCTGATTTTACATTTTGCTCTTCTAGGAAGGCACTGCAGCACATGCCTCCACTTTCTCTCTCACCAGGATCTACAGATTTCTCAACTTTCCTGTCACCCAATGTGCTGGAAGAAGTGGACAGTTTCCTCATAAGGATTACTAGGTAAAATCAAGGTTGATGAAGGTAAACTCTGTGAGGAATGGAGGGCATATATGCTTGTTAAGTCTTTAAAAAATAATGTTGGCCGGGCGCGGTGGCTCAAGCCTGTAATCCCAGCACTTTGGGAGGCCGAGGCGGGTGGATCACGAGGTCAAGAGATCGAGACCATCCTGGTCAAAATGGTGAAACCCTGTCTCTACTAAAAATACAAAACATTAGCTGGGCATGGTGGCGCGTGCCTGTAATCTCAGCTACTCAGGAGGTTGAGGCAGGAGAATTGCCTGAACCCAGGAGGCGAAGGTTGCGGTGAGCCGAGATCACGCCATTGCACTCCAGCCTGGGTAACAAGAGCGAAACTCCGTCTCAAAAAAAAAAAAGCACCTGGCTCCTTGCTCACCGCAGCCGCCTCAGCCAGGCGCCTCCTTCCCCGCTGCGGACTCCGGCAGCTTTATCACCAGAGTCCCTGACTCGCCTTCTTTTTAATCCCTTGCATTGGATCACCGGCGTGCCCCGTCATGTCAGACGCAGCCGTAGACATCAGCTCCAAAATCACCACCAAGGACTTGAAGGAGAAGAAGGAAGTTGTGGAAGAGGTGGAAAATGGAAGAGATGCCCCTGCTAACGGGAATGCTAATGAGGAAAATGGGGAGCAGGAGGCTGACAATGAGGTAGATGAAGAAGAAGGTGGGGAGGAAGAGGAGGAGGAAGAAAGTGATGGTGAGGAGGAGGATGGAGATGAAGATCGGAGGCTGAGTCTGCTACGGGCGAGTGGGCAGCTGCAGATGCTGAGGATGACTATGTGGATACCAAGAAGCAGAAGACTGACGAGGATGACTAGACAGCAAAAAAGGAAAACTTAAACTAAAAAAAAAAAAAAAAAAGCTGCCGTGACCTCCTCACCCCGACTTCCCATCTCAGAATCTAAACATGGTTGCCTTCAAGTAGAGAGGCCCGCCCACCACGGGCAGCGCCACCCGCAGATGACCCACCGCGCTCTCCACTACCCAGCCCAAACCGTGAGAATTTGCAGCAGGGGAGGAAGAAAGCACCAAAACTTCCAAGGCCCTGCTTTTTTTCTTAAAAGTACTTGAAAACGGAAATTTGTTTGTATTTTTTATTTACATTTTACATTTTTGTACATATTGTTAGGGTCAACCATTTTTCATGATCTCAAATGACCAAAGCAGCTTTCGGAGCGTTCTGTGTCCTACTTCTGACTTTACTTGTGGTATGACTATTTCATTATAACCCCAAAGGAGAAAAAAACCTTGTAAAGAAAAGCGAAAATGACAACTTTCAGAAAAACAATCGTATTCTGAGCATTCCAGTACCTTTTTTGTGTATGTACTTAGCTGTACTGTAGTTGGTTTGGATGAGATGGTTGAAAAGGCCAAAGATGAAAAGGTTTCCTTTTTTCCTTTTTTGTCTATGAAGTTGCTGTTTATTTTTTTTGGCCTGTTTGATGTGTATGTGAAACAATATTGTCCAAAAATAAACAGGAATTTCATTTTGCTGAATTTTTCTACCAACAACAACAAATATATATAATATATATATATGTAAAAGATTAACATATATATATGTATATTATGTGTATATATACATAATATACATATATATATGTTAATCTTTTAAAGATTGCCACTAAAAATGGTTGCTTTTTAGCAGCTAAAGAGAAAGTGACATAATGGTTCGGTCATCCAAAGTCTGTTATTTAGCAACATGACCTGACCTGAAGAATTGGGGCCTGGGGCGGTGTTGCAGGGCCCAGGGGGAGTAGTCCTGTGATTCTGACAGGACGGATGTCTCAAAGTTCAAGTGGCATAGTCTCCCAGTTCACTGCTGTGTCTAGCCTGTGGTCCTCACTCAGAACCTGCTGACCTTCACACACAGGTCCAGGGAGCCTGGTTACCTATAGAACTGGGAAAGGGTGCCTGGATAGCTTGCTAGTAGGGACCAGTTTGTGTGGGGACACTTCTACCTCAGTGAGCCCTGAGGACATTACTGCATTAGATGACAAACCAGTCCCTGAGCCATCTAGACAATTTTTAACGTTTCAGTGTAATGTGTTGAAATGAAAGGCATGTAAGTGTGATTCAGAGTAGATCTAAAATACATTTTTGGTGCTTCAAGCATAAACCCTCAGCTCTCTAGCCAAACCAACTCGTTACCCACGGCTTCTTAACAGCAGAGGCTTATTACAGTAGCTCATTTATTTTGGCTTATTAGTATTATGTAATATTTAAAGATTAAAAGTTATAGAAGTAAGGCATTCACTCCCTGGTTCTCTGGATTGATTTAGTCTTTCCTTAGGTTATCTTAAGGATTTTGAAAAATATTTCTGATAAACCTGTAGAAGGCATATGGCAGGTTAATGTTACTTGTGGTGATCACTTTTTACATGGGGTTTGAGCGACCTGGATTTTTTCATGTTAAGTGAAATGTTGTTGCTCTTTCTTTACAGCTGCTGTTCTACCCCAGAGGTAGAACTGACTCTTCTGGCTTTTGCACTCGCAAGAGGAAGTGTTGCCAAAGTGATGAGCTCTCTGTGCACCATCACTGACCATCTGGACACACAGTACGATGCCTCATCCCTCCTCTTGTCCATGGCGTCAGTCAGACAGAACCTGCTCCTCAAATACGGTAAATATGGTAAAACATGGGGGTGACAGAAGTGCCAACAGTGGACACACCGTAAAGCTGTTCTTCACCATGTGACCTCCTGGTACCTTCTCATCTCTCTGGGTTGTTGTAGTTGTACCATGATTCCTGGATGAATGTATCCTCTGAGTATTGGACCTTACTAGGATTGGCAGGGAGAAGGGGGATTTTGGTTCATTTATGTTATGACAGTATCACCAGAAGAGGGCGCTTGAGTGTCCACAGGGCTGTACTCCACCGTCTGCTTGCAAAATTATTCAGATCTGGTGGCCATTTGAACACAGCCATCTTTGGTGAAGTACCAAAGTATCTCATGATGTAGGCCAGCAGGGTGGGAGTAGTTCTTATCTGTCAGAGGGAGGAAGTGGCAACGGTATGGTGCAAAGGGATCTTTGTCTTAGATGCATCCCTCTGCCTTCCCATCATAGCTGCTCTGAAGGATTTGCACACGTGTCTGCCACTGCTTTCCCCTCCTGGGCCTAGCAGTAATTCATATGAGCACATTTCTACTAAGCCAGAATGGGGCCTTGTAATCCTTCTCAACACAGGAGCCCGTAAAGTTACTCCCAGAGGACTGTAGTACAACACCTCCTCCTGCGAGCACAACCTTCTTGGACTCCACAATGTATGGTATTAGGTCTCATCTTTGCACAATATTACTGTGATATTTCTGCCTTTTTTTTTTTTTTTTTTTTGAGAGAGTCGTGCACTGTTGCACAGACCGGAGTGCAGTGGCATGATCACGGCTCACTGTAGCCTTGACTTCCCAGGTTCCAGCGATTCTCCTGCATCACTGTCCCAAGTACTTGGACTACAGGTGCATGCCACCATAACTGGTTAATTTTTAACATTCTTTTGTAGAGATGGGGTCTCACTATGTTGCCCAGGCTGGTCTTGAACTCCTAGGCTGAAGCAATCCTCCCACCTTGGCCTCTTAAAATGCTGGGACTACAGGTGTGAGCCACCACACCTGGCCTCTGCCATGACGTTTGTACCATTGTCTTAATATGAATGACTTAATGACTTATGTTTTTATTTTTGTTTGTTTGAGACAGGGTCCCACTCTGTCACCCAGGTTGGAGTGCAGTGGCATAATTTCAGCCCACTGCAACCTCCACCTTCCAGGTTCAAGTGATCCTCTCGCCTCAGCCTCCTGAGTAGCTGGGACTATAGGCATGTGCCACCATGCCTAGCTAATTCAAAAAAAAATTTTGTGGAAATGAGCTCTCCATGTGTTGGCTAGGGTGGTCTCAAACTCCTGGACTCAAGCAGTTCTCCCACCTCAGCCTCCCAAAATGCTGGGATTATAGGCATGAGCCACAATGCCCAGCCTATTTAATTTTTTTTTCTTTTGCCTCTTGAAATTTTAAAGTTAGACAATTAATGTCCTGTAAATCTAGTTTCTCCCCTAAATTTTGAAAGGTCTATTTTTGGGTGGTGGCGGCTGACGCTGGTGAACAGTCCAGAGTAGGCATGGCTGGATGGGAGGTATAGCAGGTAGTGTTTGGAAGCTGAATGGAATTCAGATGAATGGTTATTCAGGCAAGGAGCAGTGGATAGGAAGGTATGCCTAGGGGTCATGTTCTAGTTCTAGGTCATATCAGAGGTGAACGGGTATTCATTATATTACTAAAACAAAAGGAAAACATTTCAGATCATCATAGCAAAAGATGATTTATATATATATATAAATATAGGTATTCTTTTTTTGCCAAAGCCAAGTGTTCTGAAAAAGTTTTTTCTCATTCTTGAAATGAAATTTTGCTTGAAGAGATTATTTAAATAAACAAGATCTAAATATATATATATATATATATTTAAATGCAGTTGCAATAAAGTTAATTATTGACTGCAAAACAGTATTTTAGGAATCACCCCCTGCCCCAATGTGTTTAATCTGTGTTATCAACCTGTATCTTGTGATGTCCTTTTTCCAGAACAATGGCTGTTTTAGAAAGCTGTCTTTGGAATCACTCAGGGACACAAGCTGTACTTTGTCTCTTTCAGGAAAGCACAGAGGGAGGGTGCCAGCCTTTGTCTAGTGTGACTGCTCTGTTTCAGCTTTTACACAGGGAGATTTTTAGTTAGCAGTCCTGGTAGCCACAGGACTATTTCCACAGATAGGCCTGCTAGTTTTCAGTTCTTCACGTGTTCACTTAAGGCTCGCTCTTTCTTTTCTTTGGTCAGGTAAACCTCTCCAGTTGACTCTTCAGGCATGTGATGTCAAAGGAAAAGAAGAGAAGTCTGGACCTGAAAACCTCCTTGTTGAACCGTGGACTAGGGATGGTGAGTGGGGGGTCTGTTTCGAGTGAGCTCAGTAGACAGTAGTCAGCTGTGTGAAAGCACACTGGGCTTTGAAATGTTGGAGGTGTACAGTCTTCAACTTTAGGTTGTTTTTCCGTTGGCCGTGGTTCTGGAACAGCTTGTGTGGTTTAGTTGTAATCTGCCTAGGTGTCAATGACCTATAACAACTTAGAAGTATTTGAGACGCTGAAGTTTTGAAAAGCAAGGATTCTTTCTCTTGGAATATAAAAAGTTACCGTTGTTTTTTTAATCGTTTTTTTCAGTTCCAGTTGTCTTTCCATTGTTTTATCTTCAGGTAGTGGGAAACTCAGCGGATCAGTTGCACTCTACTACTGAAAACATCCTTTAAGAGGGGTGTCTCCAGGCCGGGCGCGGTGGCTCATGCCTCTCATCCCAGCACTTAGGAGTTTAAGACCAGCCTGGTCAACATGGTGAAACCCCATCTCCAATAAAAAACTACAAAAGTTAGCTGGTAGTGGTGGCAGGGCACCTGTAATCCCAGCTGCTTGAGAGGCTGAGGCATGAGAATAGCTTGAACCCAGGAGGTGGAGGTTGCAGTGAGCCGAGATTGCACCCCTGCCCTCCAGCCTGGGTGACAGAGTGAGACTCTTGTTTCAAAAAAACAAAACAAAGAAGCGTATTACCAGATACAGCTGATCTGTATTTGAGTGTCTGGAGGAAGGCTAATGTCCACATAATAATTGCTGATGTGCTTTTCAACTTTGCTGGAGGCTCTGTTATCTTGGGGGTGTCTGTGAGTCTCTTTCTCATCCATCTTGTTGGCCTCATTACTGTCCTGCTGTGTCCCTTTTCTTCTCACTGGTTTGCTTTGAATCTTGCTGATTCGCTAGAGAAGGTAGAATGTTCAGCAATGATCAGACATTGAAGGGACCGGCCTTGCTGCTTTGTGACTGGTTCTCTTCAGCTTTCCTTCCAGCACCGGGTCCTCACATACTCTGAGTGGTTGCCTCTTCTCTGTCCTGTTTCCTGTATCCATTCTCAGCACTCGTGGAGTCCAGACCCTGGGAGAATACGCTTTTCCCAACTGCACCTCCTCTCCTCCGTGCTCCTCTGCAGCCGTAGGTGCTTAAACAGGATTGTTTCCCTACGGTCTTCCCTGAGCAGCTCAGCCTCTGCAGAAACGTTTTCTTCACTGGGCCCGTCTCCAGCCACACTGAAGGCCATGGCTGGCTGTGATGCACCTGCCATCCAAAGTGGGTGGGGCTGGGAGGAGGTAGTGTTAGCGCCCAGGCTGGAGTGTAGTGGTGTGATGATAGCCCCCTGCAACCCTCACCTCTCAGGCTCAAGTGATTCTCCCATCTCGGCATCCCAAGTAGCTAGGATTGCAGGTGTGCACTACCATGCCCGGCTGATTTTTTTTTTTTTTTTTCTGAGACGGAGTCTAACTCTGCCGCCCAGGCTGGCCAGAGTG